TGATAAGACCTGATATCGTGTTCGCCTATTCAAAGCTTTCCTAATATAATATTAACCCCTCCTCTAACTACCTTAAAAAGGCTTAATAAAAACTATTATTCCTATGCTATATAAGATACTATTACCTGATATTCGGTGGGGTAGACTCTTTCTAACCGTAAACGACGCGTCCTTCGGGCATAATCCAGACAGTAAGAGTTTATAGAGATATACGATAAAGCTTTTCGGCGGCACTATTAACTAGAAGGCGGGTAAATAACCGACGGTTACGACGTCATTAATAGAGTCGGAACTACTTGTTCTTACTAAGGCGACTAAGGAGACATTATTCGTTTATCGGATATTAAGGGATTTAAAGCTTCTATTAGATAAATAATAACTACAGCTATATTATAATAATTAGCAGACTATTAACCTTATTAATTAGAAGGTATAACGCCTACGAATAAGGCTACGGCACGTTAATATTTATAGCTAGTAGGCGCGCTAGTTAGTATAGTAAGGCCTTTTTAAGGTTATATACGTTAACACGAAGGATATAATCACGGACGGTTTAACGAAGGTAGTACCGGAGGCGGAGATTAAAAGACTATAATATTAGCTTAATTTAATAGATTAAAAGGATCGTATCGAGTAGTTAAAGTAACTACACAAAGAGATTGAATACGCTAAAGCCGTGGCCGTAGTCATAATAAAGGCCCCCGAGGGCGTAGTAGATCCGATAGATATAGGTCCAATTAAGCAGATTCGGCTAATTAGCATCAAGGAACTAATTAAGATAGAATTAAAGTAAACGATTAAACAGGGCGGATTTATATCCCTTTTATAAGGGCGTTGTCTATTAGCTATTAATTTTACGATAGAAAAGGTAAGAGCTTTTGGTTTAAACCGAAGCCTCTAATTCGTTACTTAACCTAGGAAGACCCACCTTAACTAAGGGGGTACATTATATACACACACGGATTACGATATAGTCTCTAGGGGATCTATACCTGACTAAGGGATTCGGATCTCGGGGACCTCGGGTATTAAGATACAATAAAGGAGGATACCGAAGAAGACCGGATAGAATCGAAATGATATAGTACTTATAACAGAGTCTTGACTACCTAAATTAAGGGCACGAGAGACTTATATAGATATAACTTAATATAATACATACCCATAAGACTTTTGCTCTATTAAGTTCATTATATAAGTGCTATTTTGACGTGCGATACGACGACCCTGTTATCCCCCCGTACGTTAGGGCCCGTGCCGAAGCCTAGTAGAGGCCGTTGTGTAAAACGGCTCTAGTATAAACGTGGGTGGTTTTATTTTGGTTATTTTGGAATAGAATAAGCTGGTCATTTCCTGTGAGGCCGTAGACTTTCGTTTTATCTAGGACGGGAAGGCTGATAATATTAGTACCTAATTCGGGAATATATAAGCAGTTCTGAAGTAGTATAATTCTTCATGAATCCCTGAATTTGATATAACAGTTACTAGTACCTGTTATTTTTATTTTATTTGTATCAGGTTCCCCAAAAAGCAAGGTTAACGCTCGTACCGTATAAACCTACCGTGTTATATACAATATTACTAGGGGCCTTAAAGGAGCCCTTAATACTCGTCGTAAGGCTAAAGCTATAGCGAAGGATTTATACCTTAGAATAATCCCCAGGGATAATACTGGAAATATAAGAAACGATTTAGAAATAATTTAGAAATAGATATTAGTATATCTGCTTTCTTAGCTTCATAGTCCTCTTATAAACTGGAAGCTTCCGGATGGTATTAGGAGTAACGTTACTAGGTATATGTAGAGTAGAACTCTGTTAGTCGTAGTATATTGCCTTTTCTTTTAGCTATAGTATAATAAACTAATAATATATAATTCCTAGACTCCCCTCCTATTCACTATAATTATTATTATACAGTTTAGGCTGAATTCCGGTACCCTGATATAGGTAATAGAGAGAGGGTTTCTAGTAAATTATTAACCCTTATTAGAATCAGAACTTTAAGACTTCTAATTATTTCTTTCGAATTTACTAGTCCTACCCGTTCCCCCCCCCCCCACCTCTCGGAATTATCGGGTTATAACACCCTATCTTCCGTCTTCTGATTATAAAGACTAAATATACTATTAGGATATTGGTTTAGACCATTGCTATACTGCTAGTATATAGTTTTTAGTATAGGTTTAGACTATTACTAGATAGCTAGCGTAGTGTTTTTAGAATAGGTTTAGACTGTTTCTATAATACTAGATTCTTTTTTGTATAACTTTTATAATTATAGCTTACGATATATATAATCTTTTTTTACTATAAACTCTTGTTCTTATAACTTCTTTATAATAATAATAAATCACGATTCTAACAGCTAAAATATCCCCTTCTATTTTACTTTTGCTAATTACAGTAGTAATTAAAACGAAATAACCGTTTACATTCTAGCTAAAGCCTTATTATTTCTAGCTTATATTACCGCTTATTCTAGAGCCTTTACCTCTTAATTTAAGCCTTTAACTCGCGATTCCTTCGTATTATTTCACGATAACGCCCCTTAATAGTTAGATTTATCTTTTTCAATGATTGAGATGCTTATAAAGCTTGGGTATAATTGAGAGTAGACTGTTAATAAAGATTCTATTAGTTTTAGAGCTAACCTCGTGAACGACTAGGAGTGATACCGCTTAACGACACGATCTTTATACTTCTAGGTACAAAACTTCGCGAATCCGAATCTATACTATCGTTATTAAAGGGTAGGGTTAGTCCGACTAGGGCAATTGGTTATTCCGACTAGGGCACTACTGACAGCACCTGATGCCAGCCGCCGCCACTTCCTATTGTACTTAGATACTTCCACATAATCTACGTGCCTACCTTACCTATACGTTTAATTGACGACGATATCTTCCGACCATTCAATTGACGATATCGTCGCTCGTTCAATTGATGATATCGTTAGTAGATTGTGTGGAAGTATCTAGGTATAATCGGAAGTGACACCGGCTGGGATCAGGTGCTGTCAGTAGTGCCCTAGTCGGAATAACCAAGTGCCATAGTCAGACTAACCCCACCCTTATTAAAGCGTCTAAAGTCTTCTAGAGCGTTAAGAGGAGATCTTAATATAGATCGGCCAGAGTTTATAGTACGGCTATATAAGCGATCACTAAAAGCCTTATTATACTCCATCTTTACTTTAAGATATTTTCTCTCTAAGATAAGGTAAGGTTAGTTACCTTTATATTATATAAAGAGTAGTAGTCAGGTATACTTCTTTGTTTAAACTTATTATTAAGCCGCCCCCTTATACCTGTGTCTCGCTATAAGCCGGGGATATTAAGAGAGCGACTAGTAAAGTCTCTAGAGGTAAGATTCTAGTTATAATCTTGATATCTATAAATGTTAGTATAGGTTTTTATAAGAATATCCGTTAAACTTACCTATTAATCACTTCAAGAATAGATATATTTCACCTAGTGAATATATATAAGGCTTAATATATAACCTTGACCGTGTTAGTATTATGAATAAATAATACCTAGTCTATAAATATAATATTTAAGGGAGCGTGATAAAATCCTCAAGCGATATAGGTAAGTTATTTATAAAAGGCCTAGTTATAGTACTTACGAAATCTCCTTAGCGACTAAGTTAGTAATTAGAACTATATCGGAAACGTTTCCGAAACATTTCCCCATATTCGGATTACCGGTAAATCTTTTCTAAATTATTTCTAAATCGTTTCTAGGTTATACTTACGGCCAATCTTATTATATAGATTATTAAAGTCCTTCTTTATCCGGTATTCTAGTAGAGTTATTAAGATCCGATACCGAGAACCTTCTCCTCTCTCGCGATTACCGCCTAGGAGACTCTTAATACCTCGCCTAAAATAAACTATACAGAGTCGGATATAGCGGGCTACCTAATTCTCCTATGTTTTAAGGGGCCTATACCTTTGCTATAGATATTTTCCGAAACCCTAAGTCATAGGTAGGGCTTAATCTAGAGTTACCCCGAGCTGACTATCTTTATAAAGGTATTTCCACTTAATCTTAATCCTATACTTCTCTTCCAGGATTCGGAAAACCTTCTAAAATATATAGTGATGTATCTCCATTATCTCGGAGTTCGTATAGTATCTTACTACAAGGAGAACTATAAAGGTATTAGAAACGTTTCCGAAACGTTTTCGATATAGTTTATAAGTATACCTTTTTTAGAGCTCTAGCTATACTACGCCTAAATAATTTCTTTCTAGTATATACCTGTAACGTGTTTATAATTCTGCTTAATAAAAAACGATTGTATATCGGGGAAGTTCTACTATTTTGCCTGCTTATAAAAAAAGCAGATAACTATATAGTTACTTACGGATTAGAATAAGTATTAAATATACTAGATATATTAGAATAAGCATTAAAAAGAATGTTATACTTTTCTTATATATATCCGTTAATTTATCTCTTTTATCTACTTAAGGGCTAAAGTAATACTCCGACTACCTGAAGAAAAAAGAATAATCTATTACTTACGAATAATATATTAGAGGTAATCGGTATTCGTAAGACTTACGTGAATATCTATAATCGATTTCCCACGAAACTCTATAAGAAAGGCTTTAAGTTCTCATAATCTTAGGAATCCATTAAGTTTATACTTAGACTATTAATTTTCGCGAGTACTCTAGTAATCCTATTTAATACTAAGGGGGGAGGGTTTTATAGGAGGTAAAGGAGGGTATGAATATATTCTATAAGACTTTATAATAATCTATAGCATTATAGTTGGATCTATTGGAATAAAAGATCTTAATTCGATACTATAACTTCGCTTTTAGATTTCTCTAGGGCTCCCGAGATAAACTTTATCTATCCTTAAATATAAGTATAAGAATAAAAAAGAAATCTTGAATAGTTTCTAAATCGTTTCCGAAATATTTCTAAATCGTTTTATAGTAAATATACCGTATGTTTTCCGCTTTCTACGATTCGTTAGAAAACAATGGTATTTCTTATCTAAATTTATTAGAACTCCGTGAATAAGGGATTAAAAGTCTATTTAATAAGGTCTAGCTAAGGGTAGTGGATTATTAGTATAACCGTGTTAAAATAGTGGCGCGATATTTATCCTAGTATCTATAATCGGTACGTATATAATATTATTCGAAGTCTATAAGATACTTTACTTAATTAGAAAAAAGAATTAAGCGTACTAGATTTAAGGATAACGTACTTATATAGTATCTACTAGAGTCTACTACTAGAAAACACGTCTCTTAACCTTTAATATATATAGTCTTTTTCGTGAATCTCCCTTAGATTACTTATACTTATCTAATACTATATAAGTATTATAGGTATACTGTAAGGAGTAATAGGCTACTGCAGAGCGATATAAGATCACTTAGGGACTAATAAGCATTAAGGAGGGGGTATCGTGATAAGATTATTCGTTAAGTCCTCGCGAGACTTTAGGAACTGTAGAAGGCACTCCCCTCTTTATACCTACCTAAGGTCTCCTAACTAAGTGGGTAGCGAGAGGCCTCCTTAGGACTAAGTTTAGGCGTAAGCTGGTTCCTAAGCTAATTAGCTTACTAGATCTAAGCTAACTTTTAAGCTAACTAGCTTATTTAACTTCGACGCGTTATGTCTTTAAGAGTTTAACCTAACTACGATCCCCCTATCTATATATAAGTCTGGTGCTAGTCCTATAGTATTATATAAGCACTGTATATTCTGATAATATACCCCTCTCTAAAAATACTCCTATCCTTAGGAGCGTAAGTGCGGATAATTAAAGAGGGATTAGTTATCTGGTAAAGGGAACCTATATTATTACAAAACTCTTTAGGATACCCGTTTTTATTTAGACCGGGTTCTTTCTTCTTATTTAAAGTACTCGAGGAAGATAATAAGCGTTTACCCTTAAATGGTAGATATAGCTATATCTAACTAAGACGTTATTTAAGTATAAAGGTCCTAAAGGCAGTATAATTAGTTTAAAGAGCGAAGTAAAAAGGAATCTATAAATAACTATCGTGTAAATAAATAACATACCTAACATATCCTTAAAGTAAGTATATAAAGAGATTACCTATAGTGTTACCGTTAACTAGCACGGCTCTTATTATAGTAAGAATAAAAGGATATAGGAGGTCTAATAGCAGGTATAACGTGTTATCGTGGTAGATATAAGGAAGGTATACGCGGTTCTTTAGGGTTAGTTAACCTTTTACTATAGTAATAATAATAATATCCACTATTTTCTTATATAATCTTCCTTTAATTCTTTTCTTTCCTACTCTAAGTATATATTTATAGTTCTTATACCATAGGGAAATGGTTTTATATATATCCCGTTAACGATTAATAAGCAATAAGGGTAGCTTTTATTTATAATACTAAATAATTTCTAATAATAACGCGCTGATAATTCTTACTATTATATCTAATAATCTAACTAAAGATTAGCTAGCGCTTATTATAGAGTATATAGAGAACTTACGCTAGGAGAATATAGCGCTGCGGCTAGTATTAGGCTAGTAAGATACTATTAATAATAATAATAATAATACTCCTACTAAAATAGTTACCTAAGGTAATAGCCCCGTTATTAAGCTCTTATTAGATAGCGAGTACCCTCTTAGTAAGTATAAAGAGAATAATAATAATAGTGTCATTATAATTAACGACCATTCCTTTGAGGGGTTCTCTAAGGAAGAGGGTAGTAAAGTGGTTATAGTGAACCACGGGGAGGAAAAGGAGGATAAGGATAACACTAACCCGGATACGGTAAATAATATCGATAAGGACGAGGATATAGCCGACGCCTATAATGGCGATAATAAGCCGTAGGAGAATACTATATATATAGTTAAGGAGAAGATAAAAGGCACCCACCCTCGCGCTCTTTATAACCGTTATACGTGGCACTTCCTCCGGCTTAAGCTAGACGGTAGTCGCGACTATATTATCTTTAGCGCCTATAAGGAGGCGTATACTATTAATTTATATAAATTCGAGTATTGCTAAGATAATAGTTCTCGAGGTTATATAAAGGTGAGTAATTATAACCCTTTCCCGATAAGCCACTCCGTGGATTACTAATAGACTTCTAGATAACTCTTAAGGCTAAGCTACTAGGTAAGCGTATATAGCGTTATCTAATTAAAGCTAATAACCGCGGCTATTATACCAATACGTAGCTTATAATTAAACCTTACCTCTTCAAAGAGTATACCTTACTAACTTAGTGATAGGCCGAATTAAAGGAGCTATAGATTTTACTAAGTAAGGCTAAAAGTGGGTACTAGGCCTAAAATCGTTAGGGCTTTAATAAGGCTCCTATAGTTCGCCGCGCCGCTAAAAAGGCAGTTTAAGATACTTAGTCTTATTAGGAAATTATACAGAGTACGCTACTACGTTTTATAGCTATAGGTAAATGCTTATACGAGTACCTACTTAGTAAGTAGCCGTAGTAAAACGGGGGGCTAAGGGGCGGTTAATATATAGTTACCGAGAATTTATA